TTATGTGTTTTAATGATTTGGCTGATTAATCCATTAATTAAAAAAATAATGGACAGATTAATGGATTATTAAAATAATGGGTAGTTGCAGCCCACACAGTGGGGTGTGAAAGTTTGGGCTGCCTTCTTCATTTTTCTGATTTACTTTTATAAATCATTGATCGTTTCAACTTCATTTCACTTCTCAAATATCACTGTGTTTGTYCCCTACATGATATATTTAACAGACTTTTTTAATCCAAACAATCAATGATTTATAAAAGGTAAATCAGGAAAATTAAAAAGGCTGCCCAAACTTTCGCACCCCACTGTAGATGATGGATGTATCTTGGCAAATAAAAAAAGTTTAYTATAAAAGCTACAGTCTTAAGTCACTCTGGGGCTTACAGAGTTGATTTATGTTAACAGACTGACTGACAGCAAGAGAAAATAAACTGTAATTTGATTTCATGGTTAATTGCTAACTCACCGCTGTGATCCAGTTGGCCAAGGTCTTTGTGATACAGCAGCAGAGTTTTCACCTCATCACACTGAGACAAAGACTGCACACATTCCTCCAAGACACAGGAAAAATCAGACGCTGAGGCAACCTGAGGTGGTTAAAAACAAACAGCGAAGACAAATAAAGAAATGATCTTCGGTCTAAAAAAGAACAAAAACCTTTTCTTCATCTACCTGATGGAACGACTGAACAGGAAGAAACGTTTGAAGTCTGTTCAAGAAAAGCCACGTCAATTCTTTAAGGTCTTTATGGTACGTGTGACCAAACTGTTCACTGACGACCGTCTGAGAAAAACAAAATCATTATTCATTCAGAGAGAAGGAAAGAGACGGCAAACAGCTACAGAACAAGATGATTGACAGAAAAGTTAAAAAAATTAAATAAAATAAAGAATTTAATTTATTTCAAAGTAAGGCAGAACTAAAACCTAGAGTCTGAAATATTATTCATTATGCTCTTAATGCTCACATAAACTGTAGTAAGCAGACAAAAATGAACAACAAAACTGACCTGGAAGAAGTCTTCCCTCTTCTGAGGACTTTTCAACAACTTCTTAACAAACTCCACAAAGTTTAAGCTTGACAGTTCATCCTCTGTACCACCAATCTGGAAACAGGATATTTTTCACTCCAAACCATCAGAAATGAGCAAACTAAACTCACACATGAAAAAAAAATCCATAATTGAACAGATCTCTTATAGTGTTTAAAAAAATATCAATATTTAAAATCACCTCTGGGAGCCAGGACTCGATAAGCTCCTGCATCCGGTTCAGGTGAGGCTGAACAAGGTCAAACTCAGAGGGAGGTTCCAGTTGGCACAGATGTAGGATTAGCTGAAACCAAACAAAGAAAAAAAAAGATGCAGAAATAATGTGTCAGTGAAAGTCTGAATGTCTAAGCTGGATGAATCTGAAACCACTTTTTGTAGTTTGAACAGGAACATGTGTTTACCACCCGCTTCGGATGTTATCATCCATTAAATGGACGTTATCAGCCGTTATCAGTCCCATAGAATGGCTCCAGAATGCCAGCTGGTTAATATGAGGCATAAAACCACTAAAGGTTTATTTTAGAGAAAATGACATGGGCTACGATTAGGGCTGCCACGATTAGTCGATTAATCGACGACTAATTGATTATTAAAATAATCGATGACTAATTTAAT